AGTTTTTAAAGCTGAACCTTGCCATCCCCACTCCCAAGTATAATCCCTCACTGCCTTATATAATTACTGCATACTGTCAGACAATCTTCCACTTTTTAAAAATATTTTATTTATTTATTTTTAGAGAGGGAAGGGAGAGATAAAGAGAGAGAGAGAGAGAGAAACATCAATGTGCAGTTGCTGGGGGCCGTGGCCTGCAACCCAGGCATATGGCCTCACTGGGAATTGAACCTGCGACACTTTGGTTCGCAGCCCGCACTCAATCCACTGAGCTATGTCAGCCAGGGCAATCTTCCACTTTTTAACCTAAGACTCTTTTCAATTTTTTTATTGCAGAAAATTGCAAGTATACAAAGTGAATGTGAAATCAAATCCCCACATATTTGTTACCCAGTTTCGACAAAGATGACCTCGTCCCTAATCTTGTTTTAGCTGCACCTCATGTATGCCTTCTCTTTCTTAAACTAACCCCAGATGTCTTCTGTACGTATTTCAGCATATGCCACCAAAAGAAAGGATTTTTGCACAGTAATAGACTCAATACTAATATCATGCCTTGAAAATGAATAGTTCTTAATATTATAAAAAATATCCCATCAACATTCAATTTTTTTCAATTGTCTCAGAGTTTCTTTCAAATTGGTTCGAATCAGAATTTAAGGTCCAGATTTTACATTGAGTTGGTATATCTTTTAAGTCCTGTTTAGTCGCAGTTACCTCATGTTTTTCCTTCCTTGCGATTTATTTGTTTAAAAAACTGAGTTGTTTTATAGTGTTTCCTCTAGGCTCAATTTTACTGATTAAATTCCAATAGTGTCTTTTACCATGGTTTTCTGTGCTCTGCATCCTGTAAACGGGTGGTTGTGTCCAGAGGCCTCAGTTTTCTGGCAGGAAGACCTCTGTGGGGGTGGCGTGCGCTTCCATCAGAAGGCCTGCAATGAATAGCTGCACTTCCTTTCGTGACACACGCAGTCACTGGTTACTGTTTGGTGTCATTACTTGGTTAGCTGCACGCACAACGGTGATACCCTAATGCTACCAATTTTATTCATTATCCGGAATATCTTAAGGAAATTTTCCCTCATCAACTATTTGGTTGCCTGTGGTATGTTTTGTGCAGCAAAGGCATGCTGAATGTTGCTGTTTCCTCCTTTTATTTACTTAAGAAAAATGAATTGGTTCTAAAGGTGAACAATGATTTATTTATAGCATCTTTAGGAACACCTGGGTGTTAACATCGCCGGAGTGTTTCAATCCATTTCAGTTATTATTTCTTATCGCTGCTCCAATTTTTACTGTTTGGGCTAGGTGACTCCTGAGTCCTTTTGACACAACTCTGGCAGTTTCAGATAGTGTTCTTGCTTTCTGGTATGACAAAATATTCCAGTCTCATCTTTCATACTTCCTGCCTCTGTCTTGGAATCAGCCATTTTCCCAAAGAGCCTTGGTTTGTTTTAAGGGAAAACAGTATTTAGAGAGCACCGTCTTGTGCTGAGGTGCAAGGTAAATAAAGACCCACAGGGAACGGGAACATGAGCTGTGTGGGTATTTGGGAGAACAGCATTCCAGGCAGCAGGAACAGCAGCTGCAAAGACTCTGAGGTTGGGACAGACGAAGCAAGGAAAGGCAAGTGGCAGGAAATAAAGTCAGAGAGGTGGAGGGGCCAGGCCAGTTGGAAGGGCTTTAGTTTGGCTTGGAATGAAATGGAAGCCACTGGAGGGTTCTGAACAGAGAAATGACATGATTTATTGTTTTGTTTTGTTTTGTTTTAATCGAATCACTATGGGTTTGGGGTTAAGAATAGATTCAGCAGGGTTAAGAACAAAATCTGGAGAAGGCTATCACAATAAACCAGGGAGCAGTGGAGGAAATGAGAAGAGGTCAGGTTCTGGAATATTCTGAAGATGGAAACCAAAGGGTTTGCTAAAGAAGTGGACCTGGATCGTGACAAAAGAGAATTCAAATGTGACTCTATGGTTCGTGGTCTGAGCCATAAATGAAAATGTAACACATCATGGTAATATGACTGGCATCTCTCCGTGGTCAGCGTTATGTTTGTGGAGAAAGGGGGAAGGACGGAAGTGAGGTCAGGTGACTAGATAAACTGAACCATGAAGGATGTGTAGGAGGACCAGGTGAACAAGAGGGGAAAGGGCAGTCTGAGCAGGAGCAACTTGTATAAATGCAGAGTCATGAAAGCACTGTGGGTTGGAAATTATAATCCATTTTTAGGGAACAGGGACCTTTGGCAGGTAATGAATCTCGACAGATAGAGAGAAAGACCTCATGTATCCCATGGTACGAAACTGAATTTTATTTTATGAGTGATAAGGAGACTAGAATTTTAAAGCCCGAGAATGACATTATCAGGTATACACTGTAGAAAGACTATCTTGGCCCTGGCCAGATAACTCGGTTGGTGAGAGCGTCATCCTGACATGCCAAGGTTTCGGATTTAATTTCCAGTCAGGGCACACACAAGAATCAGCAAATGAATGCATAAATACGTGGAACAACAAGTCGACCTTTCTCTCTCCCCCACACTTCCTCTCTCTCTAAAATCAATAAAAAAATAAATAAATAATAAGGAAGATCTGGGCAGCAGAGTGAGAAAGAATGAGGGTATGGAAAAAGTACAACTTGAATCATTCTAAGAATAATCAAAGACCATTTTATATTAAGAGATGAATATCGGCATCCCTTTTTAACAAGCCCTTTACCTCTGTGAGTGCAGCTTTTATTTTCTACTTCCTGTTACAAACAACAATAATAGAAAAAGCTATGACTTTTTTGTTGACATTTATTTTTTAAGATAAAATCTCAGGCCTTTAAAAAGATGCACAAAAATCCCATCCCTTTTGTAATTATTCTTGAACAAAGAGAAGTAATATTTACTTAACTATTGTGTTTTCGTGATGCCAAGGAGGGTGTGGACACCAGACAATATGATTAAATTGGAGCACAAAGCGTATTACCATAAAAGCATTGAATGCCAAACAAAGGTTCATAGAATATGAGTTTGGGGCTAAAACTATTCTACTACTGTGTATTTAACTCTGATGAACTTTAAATATGTATGAAGTGCTGGTTATTATGATGACCTTTTACCTCTTCTGGCTGAACCAGAAGTTGGGTACTTTACTTGACAGCTTCTCTCTCTATGATGAAATAAGAAAAGATTGTGTCAATTGTTGAAGTGACCTTTAGTCAGCGATGTGATGATCAGGTAGATGATAGGAATCTTTGAATTTTAATTCTGTCTGAGACAGAGAACCGTTGCCTCGCGCCCAAAGTGGGGCTCTCCACAAGTGCTCGGCCGCCGGTCTGTCTGTTTTTTTCACCTACCTCGTCACTTGCTCTGGATCTTCCCCTCGATCATTGTTTTATTTTTAGCTTTGATGATCTGTTTCCCATTCTGTCATTCACAGGATGCTCTGTGGACATGCTGTTTTTCAAATTTTTCTCTAAAACAATGATGCAAGACAATTATAAACCTATTATATAAATTGTTGGTTTTCCCACATATCCCACTGTATTAGTTAAAAAACAATTTTATGACAATAGGACAAATATCAAACAATGTTCTTTATTAGAGATGGAGTCTAAACTGGCTCTGGAGGAGACATCCATTGTTTTTTTTTTCATTTACTATAATTAGTTGTTATTACAAATGAAAAACCCTGTGACTGTGAACCATGTAGTGAGATGAAGAGTCTTCTTGTACACAGGCAGGTTAAAGCATCAAACATTTGTTGAGTACGTACTATGGGGCAGGCACTGTGCAAGGTCACAACAGAGATGCCCAAACGAAAAAGTTAGCCCTCCTCTTACTAAAAAATGAAAGCGACTGAAATACAGGCATGCACTAAATAACGACATTTTGGTCAACAGACTGCATGTACAAAGGTGGTCCCATAAGATTATAATGGAGCTACAAAATTGCTATCCCTAGTGATAACATAACCATGGAAACAGCATAGTGCAACACATTACTCAAGTGTCTGTGGCGATGCTGGTATAAACAAAGCAACTGCATTGCCAGCTGTGTAAAAGTGTAGCATGTACAATTACATACAGTGCGTAACACTTGATAATGATAATAAACAACTATGCTCCTGGTTCGTATATTTACTATATCATCTTCTTACTGTTATGTTAGAGTGTACTCCCACTTACATAAAAAAAAGTTTGCTATAAAACGGTGTGCTGTGTTATGCGGGCAGCAGCCTCACACATCCCGTGTTTAGAGTGTTTCTTGGTTGCATCATTTTGTCTTGCACTTGATGTAATCTGTTGTTTAGTATAGTAACGTGCTGTGCAGACTTGTACCTAGAAAAAATGGTCTTTACCATAGAAGCCAAGTGTATAGTAGGCTACCCCATCTAGATGTGTGAAAAGGCACCCTGTCATGTTGGCACAAGGACAAAATTGCTTAACAGCACAATTCTCAGAACATAGCATGTGTCATTAAGTGGCACCTGACTATGTAGTTAAGAATATATTTTCTATATAGGAGTCAAATACAATCTTCGATGGTTAAAAATGTACTGGCTTACATGAAGAAAATGTCTTATGGTATATTTGGATTTAGAAAAAAAATTCTCCTGCTGGAGAAGCAATGCAGAAAAAAAAACATGAACTGGGAATTAGGAACCAGATCTATATTCCTGCTTTGCTGCCATTCATTCATTCAACCATTCATCAAATATTTACAGTGAGCCTGCATGGTGGGAGAAACTGTATCAGGTTCTGGTGAGTGTAGTTGCAAATAGGAGAGACCAGCTGCCTGCTCTTTATCTTTGTGAACACGTGGCCTCACTGTTCCACGACTGGAACCTTGGTTAGACTAGATGTCTGACGTTTCTCTCAAACATAAAAGGCTAAGGTTTCTGATGGCCTCTTCCAGGGAGAGGCTTCCCAGGCAGCCGTGGGACTTGAGGACTTACCTTTCTCTCAGAGCGATTAGCTTTTGTCCTGATTTCAAAATAACTTCACATACAGTTTTGAAAATCTTTTGGTCAGTGTCTTATCAGCTTTTGGGTCATCTTGGGAAAGCCTGGGGGAGGCAGTTCCTGCTCAGAAAACTTCAGAGGCAGGAGTAATAGTTCGGAAGAAAAAAAAGTGTACAACTTGGGTCAGCACAGCGCTAGAGCTGTTCCCAGCAAGCAGCCTCCTCGCTGTTCCATCAAGCCTTCCCTCCAATTACAGGACTTCTGCCTCAGCGTCCTGGTCCGTCGCTTGGGTGATCCATTGCTTCTCGGGTCTAATAAGCCTCGTAAAGGGCTTGCTCATCAGGAACCAGAAGTGCTCAGCTTCTTGGGGCGGGAAGAACTGTTCTTGCATCCCAATTTTCCCAGTGGGTATCAAGGTAGCAAGTTTCTTGTTATCTGGCTTCAAAATTGCAATAAGTAAATAGCATTTCTGCTTGCAGCCAAGATACATTTTGCAAGGGGGTGGGGGAATGGGTTTCTGCAACAATGAGAGAGGAAGAGAGCGCGCGCGAGACATTTGAACACGAATACCAAAAGTTACAACCCTGGGAAGCGTTCTTGTAGCTTCACGGAAATGAGCAGCTGGGCTTTCCTCGCCACGGCCAATCTGTCGTTTCCAGTCAATGAAAAAGACTGAGTTTGAGGTTCCTTCCTAAACGGGACGATTTAGCCCCTCCCACGAGCCGGAGGGTCTGTTATATCTCTGTTCCTTGAGTACCTCTCTCACTGAGACCGACCACAGCAAGCAGAGACTGAAAAAAAAAAGAGCAAAGAGGAAGAAAACAAAAGCTGCCAATTATGGAAGATGTAAAGGGTAAGAGCAAAATTGATTTCATCCGAATCTTTAAAAACAAAAAAGAAAAAAAAAGAAAACAGAGGAAAAAATAAAAATCCAAAGCCCAGACCAAAAGCAAGTACTTGAAAAACCAAGAGGCAAAAAGCCCTAAATGAACTTTCCCACCCCTCTCCTTCTGAGAGGAGGCAGAGAAAGAACTTTGGGAAACTTTAAGACTGCAGAGCCCCGCGGTGGTTGTCTAGAATGGCTCTTGAGGCAGCTGAAGGGGATCATGAATATTCATTACCACTTGTATTCAGATTTTTTTAAAGAGGTAAATGACTTCTTCCGTCCCCTTGCAGTTTAAGAGGCAGTTGCCTCATTAATAGTCCAGAGTCGTCTTGCTTCGGTCGGCGTACCTCAGCGTCTTTGCTTGAAGATGCTGGGCTCAATGTGCAGATTTGTTTTGTTCTCGAATTTCCTGTGTGCTTTCCTGTTGTAAAATTAGCAAAGGCTTCTCTGCAGGGAGTTAGAGAAGTTAATGTAGCAAGAGGCTGTCACAACAGGACCCCCGAGTATGTCTTGCAAAAGACAAATTTCTTGGAAGGAGTCTGGGAGTGTGTACTTGTATGGAAGGGGAGGGGAGAAGCAGGGGAGAGAAGGGATGCAGGGCAGGAGAACGGTTTTATCTTAAAAAAGCAAGGCATATTTGACTGCCTATATTTAGATTTTGTATAAAAACTACAACAGCAGCCTGCTTTGCACAAATGGGTGTGCAGTCTCTGTCTTTTACCTCTTTTGGTCATTTTCCGCGGGGACGGAAAGCTAGCTGCTTGCCGGTCTGTGGGAGCCAGGAGGAATCTCTGCAGCAGTGTGGGTGTGTGAGGTTGCAAAGCTTCTTCATCCTGTCTCATTTCTAGTATCCTCACACGTTTTATCACGTAGAATGTGGAGGAATGGGATGAGCAACTGGCAGACTTCTTAATAAGGATAATAATGATAGCTGTTAACATTTACTGAGTCTTTGTGCTGGGAGCTGTTCTAAGCGTGTTACACGTGCCATTTATTACTTACGTTAACTTATGAAATGAGTGCTACGTTACCATCCCCATTTTATAGATGATGAAGTTGAAGTAGTGGGAGAATAGCTGGCCTCCCTTGGGATCACACAGTAAGTGGTGAATTTGGATGCAGGTGGCGGGACACAGCATCTGCCCGCTGGCCTTTCTGTTCCCCCCACTCCCAAGGCTCTCACTACTACCGACCCCGTTAGTTCCAGGTTTGCAAATCCTTGAAGCTACCGGTGTAATGTTACTGGTGAAACTGCATGTCTGCGAAGGAATTTGTGCTTTCCATCAAGTTAACATACTTTTTTCTCATTTGGTATTCATGGTCCTTTTCTGTGGTAGAACCTAGGTATTGTCATAATTACCTTTGACAAAAAGGAGAGGCTGAGGCCAGGAGGGGTTAGGTGACAAGAACCGCACAGCGAAGCTATACCAGAAATCCCCGCCTCTGGCTTCCCCTCTAAGCAGCAAGCCCAGTCATCAGTGTATTTTTGTCCCCATCTGAGCCACTTTCAGTTCCCCAAAAGACCTTGCTTCTTTTCTTGCCTCCAGGCTGTTGCTAGAAACTTACCTCTTTCCTGAAGGCTTATCTGGCTCTCTCCTTCCCCTTTAGTCGGTAAAAATGAAGGGATAGAATAGCAGCTACCTCATAGGGTTATTGTAAGGACTAAACGAGGGATTCATGCAGTGTTCTCTGAACAGGGTCTTCTGCCTATAGTATATACTCAATACCCGTTAGCTGTTGCAATCGCTCCTTCAAGCCTCATCTTAGTTGTTACTTTCCTCTTTAAGCCTTCTCTAACCCTTCGAGCCTTGGATTAGGCTCTGCCTTGGGTGTTTCTACAACACCTCTGAATGTCTAAGGCGGCTGGTCACACTAGTCTACATTGCTGCCCTCTGCATTGCCTCCTCCCTCCCCCAACTATAATTTCTTTACTCACCTTTGGAGCTTCAGTATCTAGAGCAATGTTTAGCCTATAATGGGCACTCGACGAATATTTAGTAAACTAAGTATTATTTTAGTTGATGCTCATCCTAGAGTCAGGAGGCTTGTTAAAGAGGCGAACTTGAAGTTTGTTGTGGAGCTCCCGCTGGTACATACAGCTCCTGTGCAATTGATAAAGACAACCCTCTAAGTAAATGAAAAACAAAATGTGTCCTTACTAGGCGGGCGACATTCAAAGCTGATGCGGCGCCGAGCCAGGGCACCCAGTTTGGCCAGTCTTTCAGATTCTTCATAGAACAGCCTCACTCTCTGAATAGAACATCTGGTTCCAGAAATAATGCCTCTCCAGCCCCATTTTATAGCATAGTCTAAAACAATGGGCTCTGGTAATAGAAGAAAACAACTACCGAGGCTGGCCCTGGGTAAAATCATGAAGTACATTAAATTTGCTTCTAACGCCCTTTCTTTCCTCTTCTTGGCATACCTTCAAACCAATTTGACAAATATTATTGTGTCTACCATTTGTAAGCCGCTATGCCAGATGTGTGTGATATAAACAGTTTGCTCACAGTCTAGCGGGAAAGACAGGCACATATACAACCAACTCTAATTAAAGCCAGACTTGGTAAAGTGCTAGTAATAATAGCTGACATGGATTCAATATTTATTATGTGCCAGGCACTGTAATTTTTTAATGTATTGTCTCATGTAATCTTCAGAATATACCTATGGTATGGGGTTCTGCATCTGACAGCTGTGAAGGGAAGTTACATGGACAAGGTCACACAGTTAGTAACAGGCAGAGGAGGAATTTAGATCTATATAGTTAGCCTACAAAGCCGGAGGTGCTAATGCAGATGTTCTCCTACCTCCCTAATATCTGTAATACAAATCCAAAGAAAATGCCATGAGAAACAGCATAGGGAGTGATGATTTCTGGGAGAACTTCTTGAAGATGACATTTCAGTTGGACCTAGAAAGATGAGTAGAATCTGGTGCCCAAAACAAGCCCCTTCTGAGTCTGAGCAAAATCACAGCCCAGATTTAAAAGTTAACAGCTCTTTTACCTTTTCCAAGTTCTGAGCAGGGAACCTATTTACATGTTCGTCCCGGAGATTTGGTGGCAGAAGTCCAAAGTTCAGCCCTGACTGTAAATTTGGGGATTACCAGGCCTTGACTAGTGTGGCTCACTGGACTGGGCACTGTCCTGAGAACTGAAAGGGTGCTGGTTCCCTTTCTGATCAGGGCACGGGCCTGGGTTGCTGGCCAGGTCCCCATTTGGGGGTTGGGAGCATGTAAAAAGCTACTGATTGATGTTTCTCTCACACAGCAATGTTTCTCTCCCTCTCTTTCTCCCTCCCTTCCCCTCTCTCCAAAAATAAATAAAGTCTTAATAAATTTGGCATTACCAGTCATGTAATAAAATAAACCTTTACAAAGTAATCAGCTGCATATTAAATAATTTCCTTAATCATAATTATCTTGCATGGTCATCAGGCACATGTGGCAAATAGCTTTTACAAATGCCAGTGATTAATTAGTCTTGCTTTTACTTGGCTAAACTGCATTTTAGGAGTATTTTCTCCCTTGCATTGTCTTTTGGGTTGCTTCTGCACTCTCTTTAACCAGTGAGTGCTTGTGCCCAAGGGCATTAGCATGTAATCCCCCTTTGAGGTGAGTGGTGCTAGACTCAGCCTCAAAGAGTGGTGAGACCTGGGACAAGTCACATAGGGTCTGTTCTGTTGTGAGGTCTGTTCCCTGCCACAGTTTGGAGCAAGGTCAATGTTGAAGGCAGCCTGTGTGGGGAAGAATCATCAAACCTCTTGATGGTTGCATGGAAGTGTACAAGAACAGAAGCACTAGCTTTGTCTTGGTGACCGTGTGCGGGTTCTGAGGCAGTGTTTCTCAAACTTTAACAGGCATATGTGTCCCTGGTGATCTTGTTAAAATGCAGATTCTGATCCGGTAGCTCTGGGGTGAGGCCTGAGATTCTGCATTTCTAACAAACTTTCAAGTGGCGGTAATGCTGCCCCGCTATAGGCCACACTTTGACTAGCCATGTTATAGGGTCCTTGCGTGCCTTAATCTCAGGGTTTATTTTGGTACCAAATGACCATCCAACCATCACTTTGAGTCATTGATCAGCTATGTCATTGCAGGATAATGGGAAGCATCGTTCATTCGCTCATTCGTTCATTCATTCATTCATTTCTTTGTTCATTCATTAAGTTAATACACATTCAGAACAGGACATGGAGGCCCCCAAGTTGTTATGCAAGAAACAAGTCTGAATGTTCGCCGCACAAAACTATTATGTATCAAAAGTCTCTGCATTGGGTTTTCTAAGTATCTCTCACTTTTTCTCCATAGCTCCAAGTTTTCCTAAACTAGTTTTATGACCTGCCTTGAACCCGAGAATCTCTGGAGCAGAACATTTTGCCTCCAGAACCCTTTGCTGGGCGATTGGAATGTCAGGGAACTGGGGTTAGCAGGGACTCGGGCCTCTGAGACTGGGAGCAGCGTGCCTGGGGCGTTATCTCCACCCTGCAGGAGTGAAGGCGGAAACATCCCAGGTGCAAAGGAGGGAAGAGAGGACTGACAGAATTTCCATAGGTTTGAAAAATTGAAGGAATCATTAGGAAAAAGAAACTGTTGGAGAAAAGAACATGGGAGAATTTGTCTGACATGCCTTTATCCTGCAGTTTTTGTGCTAGAATATCAGAATGACTTTAGAGACCCAGGAACAATGGCAGTACATTCCCTACAGAGAGAGGTGTTTCCTTTCAATTTACAGGGATAATGTAGACAGTTTCAGGTCTGTAAGGGTGTAAGTAATATGGCACATGTCCATTAAAGGAAATGTGAAAACACACATTAGAGGAGAGAAGAAAATAATCACTTATGACAATACGTTGGTGTATTTCCTTGCAAGTCCTTTTACTGAATACTATGCCTGGGTTGTTTCTCTCTTTCAGCAGTTACTTGACTAGGACCTTGGAAAATTAGGAGATGGCATTGCAATCATT